GTAAGAAAAAATTATGCACCAACATCCCTTATGACCATTGACACGAAAACCCTTAACTAGTAGCAAATCCAGGAAAAAAGAAATATATATATATATATATATATATATATATATATATATATATATATATATATATGATAATATCTCATGACAGATTCCTCAGATTTTATCTGAGGAATACAGTTAGGTTAACTTTCAAAAAAATCAATCAATGAAATTCATCATATTAACAGAATAAAGGAGAAAACCCACATAATCATCTCAACATATGCAGAAAATGCACTGGACAAAATTCAACATTCCCTCATGATAAAAACTCTCAGCAAACTGGGAATAGAAGTGAAGTTTTTCAACCAGATAAAGTGCATCTACAAAAGTCGAGCTAACATCATACTTAATGGTGAAAGAATCAATGCTTTCCCCCTGGGACTGGAAGAAGGCAAGGATACGCTCTCTAGTCAACTTTTACTGGGGGTCGTAGGCAATGCAATGAGGAAGAAAAAAATAAAAGACATCATATTGGAAAGGAAGAAATAAAACTGTCTCTACCCATAGATGATGTTATTTATGCAGAAAATCCTAAGAAATCTACAAAAAAAATAAATTACTAGACTTATAAGTGAATTTAAATATTGCAGGATATATGGCCTAAATATGAAAATTTACTATTTCTAGATACTAGCAACAATTAGAAAATAAAATTATTAAAAATAGCACTTAAAGTAGCATAAAAATAAAATATGTAAGGATACATTTAACAGGATATTTGTAAGAACTGTACACTAAAAACTACAAAATATTGCTGAAATTAATGAAGACCAAAAAATGGAGGGACATACCATGTTCATGGATCAGACAACTCAATTCTCCCTAAATTGATCTGTAGATTCAGTATAGTTGCAACCATCATCCCAGTAGAATTTTATAAATATTAACAAGATGATTCTAAAATTTATATGGGAATACAAAGGATCAAGAATAGCCAATACAATTTGGAAAAAGAAGACAAAGCTTGGAGGACTTACACTACCTTGTTTCCAGACTTATAAAGCTACAGTAATCAAGACTGTGTGATACTGGCATAAGGAAAATGTGTAGATTACTGGAACAAAATAGAGTGTCAGAAATAAACCCACTTATATACATGGTCAATTGATTTTTGTAAGACATGCCAATGTCACTGGATGAAAGAATAGTGTACAATAAATAGGCTGGAACTACTGGTTAGCCATTTGGAAAAAATAAATCTTGACCTCTATTTTCACCAGACACAAAAATGAACTCAAATGGATCGTAGACCTAACATAATATCTAAAACTATAAAAATTCTAGAAGAATACTTGGGAGAATATCTTGAACTTGGAAAAGGAAAAGATTTGTTTGATATAAAATGCAAAATATTACCAATTATAAAAGAAAAATTGATAAATTGAACTTCATAAAAATTAAAAAGTTCTCTTTTAAAGATATTAAGGAAATGAAAAAGCAAATCACATAGTGGAAGGAAATATTTGCATTTCATATATCTGACAAAGAACTTGTATCAAGAATTTATAAAAATGTCTTACAATTCATTAATTTAAAAACACAACCAATTAAAAATGGGCATAGATTTGTACAAACACTTCATAAAAGACATATGAATAATCAATAAGCATATGAAGAGGCTCAACATCATTAGTCATTAGGGAAATGCAAAATAAAACCACGAGATACCACAACACTCTCACTAGAATAGCTAAAATTAAAAAGACTGATAATACTAAGCATTGGTGAGGAAATGGAGCAATTGGAGTCTACTTTGGAAAACAATTTGACGACTTCTTACAAAGTCAAATTTATACTTATCATATGCCACAGCTTTGCCACTCCTACATATTTACCCAAGATAAATAAAAACATATGTCTAAGGGCCGGCCTGGTGACACAGCAGTGAAGTTCACATGTTCTGCTTCAGTGGCCTGGGGTTCGCCGGTTCAGATCCCAGGTGTGGACCTACGCACCACTTGTCAAGCCATGATGTGGTAGGCATCCCACATATAAAGCAGAGGAAGATGGGCACGGATGTTAGCTCAGGGCCAGTCTTCCTCAGCAAAAAAGAGGAGGATTGGCAGCAGATGTTAGCTCAGGGCTAATCTTACAACAAACAAACAAAAAATATGTCTACACCAATCTTGTACATGAATGTTTATAGAAGCTCTATTCCTAATAAAACGGAATGCTATGAAAAATTAAAAGGAACAAATTACTGATTCATGCAACAACACTGAGGTATCTCTAAAACCTTATGCTAAGTGAAATTAGCCAGACGTAAGAAAATATACCATATGATTCCATTTATATTAAATTCTGGAAAAGGAAAGACTTACCAATATTGACAGTGGTTACCTGGGCCAGGATTGACTGCAAACAAGCAAGCCACTACTAATGATTTGGAGTTTCCATTTAAGATGAAACTCATTTACTATCATCCTTGCCTTAAACCAATTCAAAACGACTTTCTGAACCACTGTCAGCAGCTTTATCATCCAAGCCCACTCAAGAAAACGGAAACCACAGCAGGTATTTTAACAGGAAATTTAATATAAAGAGTTGGTTAGACGTATTAGAGGACTGAAAAGCAAAAAAAGTCAAACATTAAGGTAATACAGAGATTAAAAAAAACTTTACGAAGCGGCTACCATGCCTAAACAAAGGAAAGACGTTGAAATTATCAACATGTAAAAGCTTGGAAGAAGGGCATGCAACAAGCTAGGACCCAGATCTTTGAGGAGAATGTGCTGCCCAGCTGATGCTTGCACCGTAAGAGCTTGGTGGAGGGCTCCCACAGAGTTGGAACTCAGACATTTGAGAAAGGGGCACCAGTCAGCTGGTGTTGGTACCTCTGAGGGAAAGTGATGAAGCTGGTTATGGAAGTTAAGGATAAAATGAAACAAACTGCCACTACCAGTGCGCAGAAATGCTGCTGGGTGATATTGAAATAGGGAGCAAAAGGGAAAGGAGTTCCCTCTAGTGCCCCGCTGGCAGAACCTAAGAAGCCAGCTAGTAAAGGAAAAGTGTGATTTACAGGATCCAGGTCCCAGCATCACAAAGCAGAATAAAGAACAGGAGATTTGGGGCTTAGAGCCAATAGATTACTAACCAATAGAGATGCCAAAGTAGAGGCCAAATAAACAAACTTCAAACAAATATGTATGGATAATTTCTGCTCATGATTTCTTGACATCAGGAGTACTGAACAAGATGCTAGGATTAGAATCTTGATCCAGCTCTACCACTAACTAGCAAGGAACTTAACATGAATGAGCCTCAACGAGTTGCTTAATATCAAGGTAGCTCAGCTTTCATTCATTTTTTTTCTGCTTCAGGATTCCTTTAAGGAGTCCATAAGGAAAATGGGAATGTTCTATCCAAATGCACAAAATTATTGTTAGCATAATTATAAATATTAAAAGACAGGCACTAAGCTAAAAAGCAAATTAAATACACCCTAACATACAAATTAGTAAAGTGGGTAGGGAAGTATATAACTATGCAAGTAATACACTTGGTTAATCTCATGATTTTCTAATTTGGACTTTTGATGTGTATATATGGGTTAGTAAGCTAATAAACTATTTTTATTCTTAAACTACAAGTATAGACCTATAATTCTTCAAACTGGCTCAACTGCACGGCTGTATTTTGGCCTAAGCATAGATAATTCTCAATGGTACATTTTCATCTAACACCTAGCAGACTAACTCCACCACTCAACCATGATATAATCTGTTATTTTATATCTAAACGAGTGGCTCCCTATATTTAGAAAAATAACTGAATGTAGACTACAGCCTGGAACTGGTAAAAAAAAATTTCAAACAAATTTATTAATGCATTGTAAGTGTATATGATGTAGACATATGTGGAAAAGAACCTTTGTCCTAAGAAATAACAGAGCCAAGTAGGAATAAAAAATTTAATTGAAAAGAACGTTACAGTACATATTTGGGAAAGAAACTAGAGAAAGATTTCAAATGATGCTTATCCCTTAATTAATGGTGGAAAGAATGAATTCCACTTTGGATTCTTTGGATTAAGCTTTGCTCTATTTGTAGCATTTTAAAAATTTCACATATTTTTCACCTTGTGTCCAAAGTGTCCAATACACCCAAAATACACCAAAAACTTAGTGTTGTAACATCTATATTGAGTTGAGAAATGCAAGCACATAAATAGCAGGGTTTCAAAAATGTTCATATAGTGACTTTATTACCAGTGGTTCTCGACCTTTAACTTACTTCAGAATGACCTGGCGGGTCTGTAAAAACACAGACTGCTGGGCCCCATAGCCAGAGTTTCTGATTCAAGAGGTCTGGGGTGGGACCTTAGAATTGCATTTCTAACAAGTTTTAAGGTGATGCTAATGCTGCTAGCTCCGTCAGCACTATATTCTAACTAAGCCAGAATAGTGTGTCACATTATATCAGTACCTTCAAAGCAAAGATAGAATATCTTGGAGAGATTTTACAACCTAAAGACATTCATTGAATTCTAAGTCCTCAGGAGAAACTGTGAAAAGATTTCTGATCAGTTACTATAATAAAACTCAAGGAATTTAAAGTGTACCTACTATTACAGTATAACAACTCCTACTAGGAGTGGCAGTTGGTTAGTTATTTTTAAGTTGGTGGGACAGATGTATTGGCATACTGGAGTGAGCCTAATAGTCATGGGCATCAGTCTGTATGTCATATAGATGGAATGCAGAACATTCCATAATCCATCTATAGGCAGCTTAAGAGAATTTCTACCACCACAACAAGAATGAACAGGTAATTCTTAGATGTATACACGGATCATGCCAGTAACATCTTCTTCAAATATAAAAATATATGAAAAATAGGGGTCACGAAAGGAAATATAAGATTCCTATTACCACCAAAAAGTAATGTCAAGTGCTTACAAGTACATTCAGATGTTTATGGCAGAGAACCCTACAAGGACAATTACCAAAAAAATAAGTTAAAAGTAAATATGTTAAGTTTTTATTAAGTTAGTATAATTCCTATGATGATTAGTCTATCTCAGTCACAACTGATGATCCTTTTTGCTTTAGTTTTTATAAACAATATACGGAAGGCATGCAATACGAAGTTCTTCTTTTGTACAGCCTTTAAGACAACACTTTTCTGAGTATCCTCTGCGTTTTCTTTGGGGATGATTCCCCCAAAACAAATTGCTTAAGATTCTAATTTTGTTTGTGTTTTTCTTCTGAAATTCTACAATCTCGTGAATATATGAATTGATATCTTTTGAAGAGGAAAATCTTCTTGTCTTATCAGGTGGCAAGTTGGCCTTTTTATACTGATGCTCAGGCAATGACTGCATCTCCAAACTGTTTATTGCTTCTTCCTGAGAGGCAGAAGTAGAGACTGTTGAGAGACAAGAAAAAATCCTACTTTATTAAAATCTTCCTTTAGCTGAAAATTTAATCAAATACTGGAATACTAAAGTCAGATAATTATTAAAAAATAGGTAATCACATTTTCTTTTTCTGCTTTTTCTCCCCAAATCCCCCAAGTACCTAGTTGTATATTTTAGTTGTGGGTCCTTCTAGTTGTGAGTAATCACATTTTAAATAATAAAATAGTTATTCAAAAGCAATATATATTTTTAACTAAAACAGTTGTAAATAGTGTTTTCTTATAAAAAGGCTTAGAAAACTTTGTACATTTTTTACACACAAAAATTTTTTTGAGATATCATTCACACGCCATGAAATTCAGCATTTTAAATTATACAATTTAGTGTTTTTTAGTATATTCACAAGGTTGTGCAACCATCACCGCTATCTAGTTCCACAACATTTCTATCACCACCCCGCCCACCCCCAAATCCCATACCCATTAGCAATCACTCCAATTGCCCTCTTTCTCCAGCCCCTGGCAACCACTAATCTACTCCCTATTTCTATGGTTGCTTATTCTGGAAATGAAATCATACCATATGTGGACATTTGTGTCTGGTTTCTTTCACTTACCAAAATGTTTTTAAGGTTCATCCATGTTGTAGCATGTATCAGTCCCTTATTCCTTTTATGGCTGAAAAGGTTTCCATTGTATGGATATACCACATTTTATTTATCTATTTATCAGTTGGGGGACATTTGGGTTGTTTCCACTTTTTGGATATTATGAATAGCACTGCTATGAACATCCACTTACAAGCTTTTGTTTGAACACGTGCTTTCTATTCTCTTAGGTATATACCTAGCAGCAGAATTGACGGATCATACGGTCAATTTGTTTAACTTTTTGAGGAACCGCCAAACTGTTTTCCACAGTGGCTGCACCATTTTATAATCTCACCACTGACATACTAGGGTGTCAAATGCTCCACATCCTCACCAACACTCGATAGTTTCCATTTTTTGATTATAGTCATCCTAAAGGACATGAAATAGTATCCCATTGTGGTTTTGATTTGCATTTACCTAATGACTAATGATGCTGAGCATCTTTTCACGTGCTTATTGTATATCCTCTCGTAGGAATGTCTATTCAAATGCTTTGCCCATTTTTTCAATTGGGCTATTTGTCTTTTTATGCACATCTTATAACTAAGTGGTTTAGTAAAAGCCATTTTGTTCTTCACTGAAATATAAAGAAACGGAGAAGTGGTGATATGTTCAATGAACTGATTGCTACTGTTATACTGCTCTTAACTCATTCAGTAATACTGGAAAGAAACTGAAAAAACTCCAGAAGCTAATTATTTGGAGGCTTGCTGGATTTCTATCATTGCCCTTGTCTCTCTACACTCCCTTCTAGGAGGATATATTTGCCCACAGCCACTGCTTAGGCAGCCATGTGCTGAAACACGTGACTCCACCCTATAGCCACAGTTGAACAGACTGGAGGTTGGCACCTGACCCCAAAGAAATCAGTCTACTACAATGGCCAGTAATCCATGCCATGTGAAAAAAAGGAGCTGGCCCAATCAGATTTCCTCTCTTTGAAATTAGAATTAAGAAGTAATGAGAAAAAGATGAGTTAGTGAAAACCAAAACAAAGGATACTACGAGGCTTGTCATGACAAGCTAAAGTTATAAAGGAACATAAACACTAGAGGTGAAAAGATTCAGGGAGAGAGAGGGAGGGGGTGGTTTTTAGAGCTCATATAATTCCTTAGGTTTTCCAGAACCATTTCTAGATCTTATTTTTATAATAATTTACGCCCCCCTGACTTTTTCTTGAGGTTATTTACTTGAATCACTATCTCTTGCAGTTAGAATCCTATTAGAATACTCTTTAATCTTTGTATTTAATAAATGCCTAAGCTGAATTGTGCAACAATAAAACATTAGGATACAGAGATTCTTCCAAGATGGCGCCGTGAGTAGTCCTCTTTGTCTCTCGCCCTTCGAGTCTACAATTATTTGGACACTTATCGCTTGACAAAGGATATCCAGACAGCATCTCAGGACGTCTGAGACACCCACGCGACTATACATCGGAAGGCGGACGGACTTTCCTCCGGGAGGATGTGGAAATAGGTGAAAACTCTCCGACCCCGACGGGCAGCCTAGTACCCGCAAGCGGCTTTCTTCCAACGGACGCCCCCAGAGGATCCACACACATCTAGGGCAGGAGCGAGAACACAACAGAGGAGCGACGGTGGAAACAGGTGACCAGAACCCTACTTAAACCCCCCGCAATTACTCCTAAACGCAGAGGGAAACTTTGGAGTTGCACACCTGAGCCCGCGGGGAGAGTCTCTCCCCGCCATTGGCGGGGAGACCCGGCCTGGTGCTCGGGGCGCCCGGAGGGTCCCAGAGAGAGACACGGTGGGCACGGAGGTCTCCCAGCTGCCGTTGCCCGCCCCGTGGGACTAGGGATTGCCGGAGATCTCGGAGAGGACCGGGGCGGGGGATCTTTCAAAGGCGGGTCCGGCGACCCGGTGGGGAAGCGCCGGAGCTCCGCCAGGCAGCAGACAAAACTCTCTGTCTGCCGGTAGCAGAGGGGCCACGCTGAGCACTCAGGGCTCCCGGCAGAGGCCCGGACAGAAGCCCAGAGGGCGGGGCGACCCCCAGCTGCCGTTGCCCGCCCCGTGGGACTAGGGATTGCCGGAGATCTCGGAGAGGACCGGGGCGGGGGAATTTTCAAAGGCCGGATCGGCGACCCGGAGGGGAAGTGCCGGAGCTCCCCCGGGCAGCAGACAAAACTCTCTGTCTGCCGGTAGCAGAGGGGCCACGCTGAGCATTCAGAGCTCCCGGCAGAAGCCCGGACAGAAGCCCAGAGGGCGGGGCGACCCCCAGCTGCCGTTGCCCGCCCCGTGGGACTAGGGATTGCCGGAGATCTCGGAGAGGACCGGGGCGGGGGAACTTTCAAAGGCGGGTCCGGCGATCCGGTGGAGAAGCGCCGGAGCTCCGCCCGGGCAGCAGTCAAAACTCTCTGTCTGCCGGTAGCAGAGGGGCCACGCTGAGCATTCAGAGCTCCCGGCAGAGGCCCGGAGAGAAGCCCAGAGGGCGGGGCGACCCCCAGCTGCCGTTGCCCACCCGGTGAGGCTAGGGATTGCCGGAGATCTCGGAGAGGACTGGGGCTGGAGAGAGTTCCAGAGACCCAGCTTAGTAGCCTAGGGGGAAACCCTACAGGCTCACAGAAGCCTTAGGGAAAGCCTCTGCACAGCACCAGTAGAAGGCACCCAGCCGCCAGCCACAAGGCTGGAAGACCCCAGGGCAAAAGCAGCATAGCTAGGTGTACTAACCACAGACTGTAGAAGATGCCAATAGCTCTCCTGCGACCCATAGAGGACAAGTGAGATTTGGTGGGTGCCGACAGCAACCGAGCGACAAATAAAAGTGATCCCACCCCTGGCCGCTGGAAAAGCCCATAACACCGTTGCAGACCCCAAGGAGAGAGCGCATCTAGGTGGGCAACAACAGTAGGCACCTGCAGTCTGAAGCCCCCCGTGACGGCCCCCACGGCAGAGGAGGGAATCCAAAGGGCCACTGTGGCTACGAAGAGGGGCCCAGGCCCAGTTAGCAACTACGGACAGGGTTCCTGGTTGGTGAAGTATAAACAGCTGCTCCCCCCACCGCAGCAGCTGAAACAAGTGAAAGGAGCAACTAAACTCTATCTCCATGCGGAGGCACAAATCAACATCATCAAGCAATATGAAAAAATACATCAAATCTCCAGAACAGAAAGAAAGTAACAAATACACAGAAAACAATCCCAAAGAAAATGAGATATATAACCTAAATGATGATGACTTCAAAACAGCCATCATTAAAATACTCACTGAGTTAAGAGAGAATTCTGACCGACAACTCAACGAGTTCAGGAGCTATGTCACAAAAGAGTTTGATACGATAAAGAAGAACCAAACAGAAATACTGGAAATGAAGAACACAATAGAGGAGATTAAGAAAAATCTAGATGCTCTGAACAGTAGGGCCGATAATATGGAGGAAAGAATTAGCAATTTGGAAGATGGCAATATAGAATTGTTGCAGGCAGAGGAGGAGAGAGAAGCAAGACTTAAAAGAAATGAAGAAACTCTCCGAGAATTATCAGACACAATTAGGAGATGCAACGTAAGGATTATAGGTATACCAGAGGGAGAAGAGAAGGAGAAAGGGGCAGAAAACCTATTCAAAGAAATAATGGCTGAGAACTTCCCAAATCTGGTGAGGGAGATGGATCTTCAGGTGACAGAAGCCAATAGATCTCCAAACTTTATCAATGCAAGAAGACCAACTCCACGGCATATAGTAGTGAAGCTAGCAAAAGTCAACGACAAGGAGAAAATATTAAGGACAGCCAGGCAAAAGAAACTAACCTACAAAGGAACCCCCATCAGGCTATCAGCAGATTTCTCAGCAGAAACTTTACAGGCTAGAAGAGAGTGGAATGATATATTCAAAAATCTGAAGGACAAAAACCTACAGCCGAGAATTCTCTACCCAGCGAAAATATCCTTCAAATACGATGGAGAAATAAAAACTTTCCCAGATAAACAAAAATTAAGGGAGTTCATTGCCACAAAACCTCCTCTTCAGGAAATCCTCAGGAAAACCCTCATTCCTGAAAAATCCAAAAAAGGAAAGGGACTACAAAACCAAGAGCAGAGGAGATAAGTAGAAGGACAACAACAGAGAGTAGCAGCTCTACATCAGAACAGATTAAACCATGGGACGAGAAACAAAGGAAACTGAAGAAAACCGGAAAACAAGACACAAAATGGTAGTGGTAGGCCACCACGTCTCAATAATCACTCTAAATGTAAACGGATTGAACTCCCCAATCAAAAGACACAGAGTGGCAGGATGGATCAAAGAACAAGATCCAACAATATGCTGCCTCCAGGAAACACACCTCAGCCCCAAAGACAAACACAGACTCAGAGTG